AGCTAAACAGGGTTTTTTCATCTTGTCTCTATTGCCATTTTGACCAGATAGTTCTATCTTGTGAGGGGGTATCCTCTGCATTGTAGGATGTTTAGCAATATACCTAGTCTCTGCCTAGCAGATGCCAGAAGCACACAATTTCCTCCCCTCAGTTGTGACCACCAAAAATCTCCAGATATTGCTAAGTGTCCCTTGGGGGCCAAATCACCCCCCCGAATGAAAAACAGTGAGTTAGAATAATTCTACTTTACAGGTGTTGAAAATAAGGTACAAAGAGTTTAGAGTAAATTGCACAAGATTGCAAATCTACTAAGAGGCAGAATTTGAATCTGACTCAGGACTTTGGAACCTGACCTCACATTGCCTCTCCCCTACAGCATCCCTTTTTCTGATACTGCCATGTTTCTAAGGAAACTCAAATACCAAAGAGGCCTGCAGGTGCCTCCTAAAAGCCTGTCTTCTAGGGCAAGCTGGCCATCGAGATTTCGCCCAGGACTTAGAGGCATGCACACAGGAGGAAACAATGAGTTGCTTCCACTAATGGTCGCAATACAAATAGTTCTGCAACTTTGTCTGTACCATTCATAGCTGCTCTCATTTCCTATCAAGTATGAAGATCTTTTGTGTCCAGGAAGGTTTCAATCTGTTGCAAACAATAGATGGGTAAAGCACAAAGTTGCAAACCAGTTCAGTCAGTCGCTGGGAGTTTCTGAAGTGATTTAAATAGCCCTGCCAATGTAGGTCGCTATTTTTAAGGCTGAGCTAAGTGTTTGAAAGTGGTTCACGCAGCCATGCCCTCAGATAGAAGTCACAGGACATCAGAATTGCAAGCACTCTTAAGGCTTTGCCTGACACCAGTGGAAATGGACATGCTGCACCCAGGATCACACAGTTGGGATTTCTGATTTCTGGTTAAAACTTTCTGATGTTTCCTCCTGCCTTGAGAATGGCTGAACTCATCACCTTCTGACACTCTGGGAAGGTGTGACTGCTTGGTTAAGCCCCTTCTTGCCCTGCTCTTGCCAGAATGGAGAAAAATAGATGACTGAACCTTTCATTGTCTTTCTCTTCTAAAGATGGATTAAAGCCATTTATACTTGCACAACCACCCAAAGTCCTATATTATAGTTATTTAGCAAAGACTTTCTAGCACATACTGAGTGCTTTATAAAACTCACTTAATATTCTCCCAATGGGTCCTATTGTCATCATTTTACTAAGGTGTAACTGGAACTGAGGAGGTTAGGGAGATGAAGTAACTTGTTCAAGGTCGTGGAAAATAAATGGCAGAGCCTGGATTGAAGAGAGTCTGGTTCTAACCCAGTGTTTCTCAAACTTGAGTGGGCATCAGCATTCTGTGGAAGCTTGTTAATCACAGATTGCTGGGTCACCCCTATCACCCTAGAGTTTTGGATTCAGTAGGTCTTAGGTGGTGCCCCAAAATTTGCATCTCAAACAAATTTCCAGATGACGCACCTATTGCTGGCCCTGGGACTATTCTTCTCAAACTCTCTGCTTCAGCATATCAGCTCTTGATCACCATACCCTTCCTCTCCTACCTTGTCAGCTAATTGAAAAACAAGGTAGAGTTACTTGGAGCAGTGGATCGCCACTTTGGCTGACCTGGGTAGTATAAAATACTAATGCCTAGGCCGTATCCCCAGATATTCAGACTCATTGGCTTGGCTTTGGTTCCAGTTATCTGTAGTTTACAAGTTCCTCCACGGGGGATTCCAAAGTATACTGATGCATCGCATTGGAAACCACTGATTCGGGTGATAGCTCGCAAACTTTCCAGGGTATGTAAATTACATGGGGATCTCAAGAAAATGCAGATTCTGCATTTCTGACAAATCACGAGGTAGTACCCATGCTACCAGATCTCAGCCTAAACTTGGGGTAGCAAGCACTAGTATTTCCCAAACCCCATGGTTGTCAATTAAAAAATATAGAATGCCTACTTCAATTTAAATTTTCAATAGACAATAACATTACTTTTTTGGTATGAGTATATCCTAAATATTACAATGAAATTATACTAACATTTATGTTAAAAATTATGCATTATTTATTTGAAATTCAATTTAAGTGGGTATTTTTGTTTGGCTTTGCTTTTTTGCTAAATCTGGCAACCTTACCAGAAAGTAAGAATTATCTGAATTACTTGTTTCAATGCATTCATGCCTATTCATGGATTTCTTGTTCTAATCCAGACGTGCTGAATCATAATCATCATTTCTGGTACCTGGTAATCTGTATATTTAACAAGTGCTGCCAGGTGCTTCTTTTCACCTCAATTTGGGAAATACATAAAAGCCTGGATTATGACTGCCTGAAATCCTCATACTGGCCATTGTCAGGGCTAGACTTGTAGTCATCACACTGCTAGAGCCGGAGCCAAATCCCTCTGCAATTATGACCTGCGTCGTTAACTTTTCTCAAGGTTATTATGGATAAATACTTATAAAGGGTGTTTTATTTTCTACTTGCACTTTTAATTTGCCAAATCATACTAAGGCCTTTCAGATCCATGTATTTTGTGTTAACACATTATGGGACAGACAGGTAGCCATGTTTGATTTTAATTATTCAATTACTTGTTTTGTATCGGGGATAGTCCTTGAGCTAGATTCACTTGATTTGCATTTGTGGAGTTTTCCAGTATTGGCACTTCATTTGGCATTTTATGACAAGAGGCTTTATTTGAAAATATCTTGCTAAACGGTTGTTAGCTGCTTCCCAAACATACTGTACAGGACAATGTAGTTTATAATAAAATTCAGGCTTCCTCCAACTTGTTATTATAATGCTGTACTTTACATGTAAATTATATTAGGAGGCCTGTGTCTCTCTTTTAGTGATTAAGATTTCATGGAGGGGAAGAAGAATGGAAAGAAAAAGAAAAAGGAAGAAAAGGAAAAGAAAGGAAAGACAGTTTATTTGTTTTTAATAAGTTAGCCTCCTCTGGGGAAGATAAGCTTTCTGATACTGTACATAATTGAGTATGCCAAAATAAATTGTTGCGTTCTCTACATAGGCCTCCTTCACTCACAAGGATATTCTTTGTGCCATTTCTAACTGTACTGTTGCTTTTGGAATGGTTTTTAATAATAGAATAGACTGCGTTCATACGTGTAAGAACTCGTTTTCTTGATATTACCTAAGAAAGCATTCCAAATGCATTCTCTACTAGTGTAGAGAAATTGGTAGGTTTTTATTTTGGTTTGGTTTTGGTTTTGTCTGTCTGTGTGTGTGTGTGTGTGTGTGTGTGTGTGTGTGTGTGTGTGTTTTAATAGTACCTCAGGGTAGAATATTCATGTATTGTCTCACTGCAGGAAAGCAGCACATTTTTTTAAGAACCAGAGGAAATTGCCACTGCTGGCTTTTATGCAAAGAAGAGGAACAAGATGCTTGCCATGTCTTTTAGTAGTCAATGGGCCACAAATAATCCTATGGTGGCATTCAATACTTACCAGACCAGTATTAAATTTGTGAACACTTTTTTCAAACAAAAAACTGTTCCTACATCCTTGATGAAGGCTGTAGGAAAACTGAAAGGAAGTTAAAGAAAAGAAATGGAGGTGGTTAAAATTATACAAAATAGTTCCTCTACAGAAAACATACAGGAAGTAGGCTTGTTTTGCTTAAGAGGTATTGAAAGGCTGGGCTGGGGAGGGATGAATTGCCCAATATCCTGGGCAATTTAAAAGTCTGAAAGGCTGACTCCTGCTTTGGATGTTTGCTGCAAAAGGGCTACCACATGAGGTTGTTCAGGGTGTACCTAGTGCAAGAGTGCCTGGCTATGTTAGCACCTGCCACACTCACTAGCCAGGCTGGGCACCAGGTTGGGGGAAGAGTGCCCACTCTGCAGTCATCTGACTACAGGGGCACTGTTTCTTCTTTGCAAAGGGCTCTCTGGTAGCCGAGACTGAGTCCCTGAAAGCATCATCTACTGTTCCCTGCCACTAACTTTGGTGGTACCAGCCTTAGATTTGGAACCACCCAAAGGCTGTCACAGGCTATGCAGTGAGTAACTTCATCAGGAGTAAAAGGACCAAGTGATGAGGGATGTTGAGCCATGCTAAAATTGCATGATTTACTTCCTTCCAAAGCATGGTTAAGGTCTAAGGAAGTCTTGGGCAGTCATGAGGGCAAGAAGGGATTTCTGCAGATCCTGGGCTGAGGAAGCTTTGCCAGGACTCAGTGATGCTTCAGAAACTGGGCTCAGGCCTCTGGTTACAGACTGTGACTGCAAGGCTGCCCATTGCTACTGCTTGTTACGTGGAGTTACATCTTCTTTATTCTTGATCTTGGAAAGGCAGGCATCTAGAAAATTCTCCAGAACCTACCCTTTCATTTGGCTGCTGAATTGAATTTAACTGGTAGACTAGAAATTGTAAAAGATAATGTGTAGATTTTTGTTGTAACTTAAATTGGGGTTTTGTCTAAGTTTTTATGACTTACCTTGACTGGTGTGTGGTTAATACGAGTGTAAATCTTGTAGTTTGGTCATAGGAGTCCGGGAAACTGAAGCTTGGGATTTTTTTGCTGAAGAGCCATAAAAACAGTAATATAGTTTCCCATGTATTTATATTGTGATACAAAATCTATTTCAATGCCCAAACTATCCTAATATCTGGCCTCAGGAATGTCTAGTATGGGAGGAAATATGCAGAGCTTTTGTTCAAAATTGGCTTGTGTGTCTTAAGGAAAGTTCCTTAATCTTACTGAGTCATTCACTGTTTCCTCATCTGTAAAATATATAAAATATATTTACCTCATAGTGCTCCTGAGAAAAATTAATGAGATAATATGTAGAAAATCATATGCCTGGCACACTACCTCCCACAAAAACATTCTTTATAATTATTCATTTCATCATTTGAGGATACAGCCCACAATTTAGAGGAGTAAGTCACATTCTCCTTTCAGAGTTTGTCTCATAAGGAATGTTCCGGAGTCAGGTGTAATAATGCTTTTCTATTTCTTTTTTTTTCCAGCCACAGGACGAAGTCTTCAGGCTGGCCGCCTCCCTCAGGACCCTGGAGCTTGAACCAGGTGCCGCCCTATGGGCGAGACTACTTCATCAAGTAGGTTAAACAGATGGCATGAACAATAGAATTCTTGGCCAATGGACTTCTTTATCTTTGATTTGTTTATAAGATTGAACATATTTAAATTAGGCACTCACAGGCATCTGAAGGCCATTATTAAAGCAGCTGGATCTCCTAAACCAGTTGCTTATATTTCTATATATTTCTGTACTTATTTCTATACACTTACATTTCTATATATTATGATGTTGGGTTGCTTCATTCTTGGACAGGCACCATCTTAGAGTGACAGCTCACTGTGTAGCATGGTAACCCTGGCTCAGAGCAAAACTTTCCGCTGTTAAATATTAGTCCAAGTTGTATTCATTGTCTGAGACTAACAACCGAAGTTGGATGGACATGCAGGAAGAGTTTCATTTACAAAGTTTTCTAGGAATGGTCAAGACAGGAATGTTACTTTCTCATCTGTAATTTTTTAAAAATCAGCTAAAAGGATTATGTACATTATCTGTTTTATTATAAATTTCTCACACTAACGTTGGCTTAGGTTTTGGATTTTTGTGGTGCTCTGGTTTTTTGTTAATCGTGGTAGAGAGAGAAAGAGAGATAACATGAAATTTACCATTGCAACCATTTTTAGGTGTACAATTCAGTGGCATTAAGTACATCCACAATGTTGTGCAACCATTCACTATTATCCATTTCCAGAACCTTTTTCATTATCCCCAAGAGAAACTTTGTACCCATTAAACAATAACTGCCAGTTCCTCCCTCCCACTACCTCCTGGTGACCTCTATTCTACTTTCTGTCTCTATAAGTTAACCTGCTCTAGGGACTTCATATAAATGAAATTATGTAATATCTATCTTTTTGTCTCTGACTTCTTTCACTTAGCATAACGTTTTCAAGGCTCATCTATGCTATAGCACATGTCAGAATATTTTCCTTTTCTCCTTATTTTTACTTTTTAATATTCCCTTGTGTGGATAGACCACATTTTGTTTATTCATTTATCTATTAATGGACATTTGGGTTGTTTCCACCATTTGCATATCGTTTTTGATACTGCTATGAATGTTGGTATATGAGCATCTATATGAGTCCCTGGTTTCACTTCTTTTGGGCACATACCTAGAAGTGGAGTTGCTGAGCCATATGGAATTGCTGAGTCAAAATTAAAGTCTATGTTTAACTTTTTGAGGAACTAGCAAACTGTTTCTTGGAGTGGCTACAGAGTGGTCTGGTTTTTTGCAGTTTCATGATAAAGGCATTTATATTTCTCAAAATGGCAAGGGTCCATACTGGCTTTTTTCTCCCACCTGAGCAGAATATCCTTAATTATAAGAAATTCATGAAACATATATGAAATCAGGAAGCATGGCTGGTTCTAGCCTGATTACAATAGAGCAGAGATTGGAGGCCAGAAAAATATATTATTTCACAAACACATGCTATGTTCTTTGTTCCAGTCAAGTTGATTATGGACTGATTAGCCAAACACAGGATCACCATGAAGTGAAGGGTCATTTTCATAAAAAATATATGCCAAAATTGTTTCTAGGGGATTTGGTCTTTTGTACCAACCCCTGCCCACCGCCACCAGCACATACAAATGACAATTGTTGGAAAGCAGTAAGAGAGACAACACGTGTAAGTGTTGTGGACAGTTTCTCAGTCTCTGAAGCCCAACTCTCTCTCCTTCCCTAGAACTACTGCACAGGGGACAGGACTCCCACCCCTTCAGGGCACAGTTTGTTTCTGAGATGCTCGACTCCTTGGTCCATCCCAGGAAGATCCAGGATGCCCTTGAACATGACTGGAAAGTGGCCCCCTAGCTCTCCAAAGTTTCCTGAGGATGTGCTCATAGAGATACTATCATAGAAATGGCAGTAGGAGCAGGGCCTCCCAGAAATATCAAAGACGATAAGAAAGGCCAATAGTTTGGCTCAAACCCTAGATTTTAAATTGATAATTTCATACCATTTGTCCAAGTCCATTATGCTGCTAGGAAGACTGTATTTTTTAATATTATATTGTGAATTATATTGTACCATCTATTCATGGCTATGAATTTGTGCAGTTGGCTCAGTCAAGGTGACATAGATGCTTTGACTCAAAACAATACAAATTTTCCGCTGAATAAATAATTTTTAAAAGACATGGATTGTGGATTCATGAAGGTACGCATTAGACTTCTCTGATTAAAACAGATGTTTCTTTTCCCCTGGTTGGATTTAGCTTCCCATACATTCCACGTCACTGAATCAATAGGTGGAAACCCAAACTGTGGTCAACTGGTTAGAGGTTCTGGGAACATCAGCTAGCTCTACCTTCATACATTACCATTAGCATCATTAACATTTTTAAGAGCCAGACTGGGTGTCAGTTTAACATTTACACTGGCCTAATGCCCACTGTTAAAACATAAGAGCAAGTCAGCAGCTTAATAGAGAAACCTGCACTGATTACTAAATGCAAGTTTTAAAACCAAAGTCACCAGTGTCATTTTTCCAAATCCATGCAGTTTCTTTTTACTTGACAAGTAAGCTTCTACAATCCTCTCAGAAGTTTTAAGATGTCAAGAACAGTATTTCTTCAGAAAGTGTTTGTTCTTTATCACTAATGCCTTTTATAAATAATGATAATTATTGTTTTTCGTTTCTTTTTCTTGTCTTTTTTTTTAACTTACTGAGTAATGTTTATTACAAAGAGGTACTCTAATTATCAGAGTTATCGGGAGCCCAGGTTTGCAGTGTGTAATATTTCTGTACTTATTGGTTTTAGAAGTTAAAGGGACAATTTGAAAATGAATCTATGGATAGTAATTAGCACCTTTGCATTTAATTTTTCACTCTCTTGCATATTTTTTGGAAGAGATTTTGATGTTTTCTTTTTTTTATCTCATCTTAGGATGTAAACAATAACCCACATCAGACAATTGTTTTTGATGGAGGTACAAGCATTCCAAGTGACAGACAAAGCTATGGGAGGAAGTTGGCTTTGTGTGTTCAAAGTTAGAGTCTGACAACTAAATAATGTCATAATTCTAACATAATGAGCCTTTCAGAACACGACCCAGAAGAGTTCAAAATGTCTTCAAGTTTCATCTTCCCTCTTCCATGTCCAAGTATTTATGTTAGGGCTGGGTAACCTGTTTTCTGTAGAGTTACTGATCCATGGGGTTAAATGAAGGATGCAATACACACATGCTAATGTATGTTTTTATAATACCCTATAGTCCACAAACTAATGGTCCTCAACCTTGGCCACACATTGGAATAAACTGAGGATCAGTAAAAATCTTGATGCCTAGGTCTGTGGTCGAGCCTGGGAACAGTGAGTTTCAGAAGCTTCCCAGGTAATTCTAATGAACAGCTATGGTTGCTGCTGTAAAGCACTTTTCAACACATGATCTCATTTATTTGGCTTCAACACAGAAATGATTATCTCCATTTTTCCACATGGTAAAACTGAGACTCAGACTATGAGAAAGGAAACTTTTGTTGATATTCTTGGAGAAATGTGAAATGCAGTTTTAAGGAACAGAAAACATTATTTAACAAACATGATAGATGCAAATTTAAAATTTCTCCGTTCCTTATTACTACCAGTTAAGAGAGAGCAGAGCAGGAGAAGGGAGGAAGACAAATGGAAAAAAAGAAACTACAAGGAAAAAGAAAGAGTCTTGGGAGAGAGTGTCCCAATGAGAAATGAATAAAAGAGGGAGAGATTAAAAGAAACAGGAAAGAAGAGAAACAGAGAAAGTGAGATACTCTAAGGTTATCATTATCGATGAATAACTTTAGATGTAGGCATAAATAGAGAGGGATGTAGATATATTATAGATTCAATTGTAGATATAGAAATAGATATATAGATGATATAGAATACATTGACATAAGTATTAATATAGGCATAGATAGATTAATATAGACTATAGATATAGATGATAGAGCTATAGATATAGATATGGGTATAGATGATTAGATACAGATATAGATTATAGATGAGTGACTATACAACCACATTCACCCAGGAGAGTCCTGGTTTATGGGCATTGTTCTGAAATAATGACAAACAGCACCTCCTTTCACTCTAAGTGTTCTTGTTTGGATAATACAAAATAAGTTATTTTAAAAATACTTTACATGTTTAAAAGTCAGAGAATGAGGAACACCATTTTTTAGTTAAATGGAGTAAGAATATGCTTGTTTGACTGTGAAGGTAGGGAGAGTTAGTGCAAAAGTACCATGATTCATAAATCTGGAACTTTGGGTTTTGTAAATTATAGGAAAGAATTAAAACATGAGCAAAATGAATATTAAAACACTAGCTCACAAAATAGATAATTATGATGAGCCAAGTTAGAGTCTGGCGATAGAGATGGGGGTTGGAGAGGAGACTGGAGAGTCAGTTCTGAAGCACATGGCCTGATCTTTCAAGTTCTGAATTTGAGAGGCTTTTTTGTTGTTGTTGGCCTGCTGGCTTCCTGGCCACCTTTATCCTGTGTACACAAAAAGTAGCCCTGTATGAGTATTGGACAAGACATGCTGTTCTATATTCTACCAGCAATTCCCATGGTGGGCAATTAAACTGAGTTACTCTCTCCTTAATGCAGAATAATTCAACTCTGAATCCTGAAGAGCAGAGATTAGTAATGAGATGTGGAAGCTTCCACTTTGTTCTCCAGTATGGGCTTGGCTCAACTTGGGAGCAGTTTAGTCATTCCCATCTGCCAGTCTAATCCATGGTCAATGTGAAATGTATTTTTGGCTTATCTATCTCCAGAAAATAATAATCTGAATAAATACAAGTAATTTATGTGCCCTTTCTTATCAACCACAGCAGAACACAGTCAAGTCAACATGATAGGATTCTGTCATCATTGAAATTTGAAATAGCAAAAGCCTTACCTCATTTTTCTGTGGGAGCCCCAAAGTATTTACCCAGTCTAACAGGTTATCTTCAAATATTATTTGGTAGTTCTAGGGCTATTCTTCGGATTTCTTTTCTTGATTTTTACTACAAGATTTCA